AAGCCAAACGAACGTGATTTTTAATGTCGCTCGTTACCTTTGCTGATCGTCCATGTTTAGTGGACCAGCATGGCGAATGATGCACACGCTCGCCGTCCCGCCGTCTCCGTGAAGCCAACGTAATACATGCGCCACAATGAGTTGGTCTATTTGATGGTTTTGTTATGAAACTCTTGTAGTTATTGCGGATACAGAATAAACGTTTGTAAGTTTATACAATCTGGAGTTGTTACAGTATACAATATTTGTCAACAGAGAAACCATTTGACACATTTATATTCTAGAACGAACGGAGCGCGGCCCAATGATTAGCATGTCGGACTGCGGATCTGAGGTTCACATCCCGTTACCGACAAAATAATAATGATAACCGCTCTGCGCACTTTGGGCGCGTGTGCGTTTTAAGAGTGACGATTAAACACCACTACTCGTTCTGTAAAGATTTGGCAGTGGAAGGCATTGCCTTCCTTATGCTCTACCCTTAAAAATGAGCGCAGATAGTTTTCGTGTAGTCATTTTCAAAATTCAATAAGCAGACAGAATATCTTAGCAGAAAGCTTCAAAATTTGAGGTGTCACACGAGTCTCTTGGAAAACTTATTACCGGCACATGATGTTCATAAAGGTATTAACGTATAGCAATAACGTTATCGACTCAGTTTAGAGGATAAATGCATGACTTCAAAACTTGAGGTATCACACGAGTCTCTTGGAAAACTTATTACCAGCACATGATGTTCATAAAGATATTAACGTATAGAAATAACGTTATCGACTCAGTTTAGAGGGTAAATGCATGACTCGAGCACCCTCCTTTGACCTCAGTGGTCGCTTTCCGATATGGGACCAAAGTCGGATTGGCCCATCAGCCCACCGGGCAATTTCCATGTGGGCTGGTGCATTTGACGCGTTTTTAGAAACTGTTTTTAATTTTTAATTGTTTAACCAGTATGCAGTATGTGATATTGTCCGGGCTGGTCTTTTAATGTCAATCCACCCCTGGGTGAAACTTTCTTCAGTAATGACGAATTTTTGAATACCAGCTGCATGATTTAATAGCACGATTGTTTATTATTTTGTTGATATTTATATATTTAATTTCTTTATGGCTTGTAAACAAACGTTTTAAATTAAACATAACGTCATATTATTTAAAAACAATTCATTTAAATATTTCAGGAATCGCTGATGACGTCTTTATTTTATTTTTTCTGAGTGTTAATTTACCGAAACATTCTATGATTACAAATATGATATATTGATGTAAATGTTCATTTAATAATGTAAGTTTTTGTTACATTACACATACAATATAAAACAAAACGTTCGTCAGCAGATTGCATCAGAAAAGACTTGTTTTAGAAGGCTTGAACAACAAAGATAAGAATTTTAACAAGTTGTTTAGAGTCAAGTAAACTACGACCAAAGATCTTTCAACAACACAACTCACCTTGATACTAAACCACGCTGTCATCCAAATTCTATTTCTGTGGTTTGTTATAGGTGGCTCAATCACATTAGCTGTAAGTATAATATTATAATCGATTTGTTTCAATTTGAAGTAAATCCAAAACAAAAACTTATTTATCTAGACATAAACCTTACAGGTGGGGTATTAGCTCTAAGATGCTTTTCTGTTTTGCTAAATATTCCTGATTATAAATCTATGTAGCTTCCTCACCTCAACATGTGGTGCCATCTAACGAGAAATTACGGGGATTGGTCAATGGGTTGAGATATAAGTAAACATTGGTCAAGCTGAGTATATCTTTGTAGGCGTCACAGAACAACACAATGAAACTATGGAAACCAACTTTCGTGCTCAACCGCTTTTTCTTTCTTTCTTTTCTTTTAACAACACCTTTGGCATTTTACATAAACAGACCGTCATCACAGAATAGTATTGATGCTTGAGTAAGGAAGCATATAATGCTAATATAACAATAGGTAGGCAATCAACGATTTATAATTAAAACTTTGATTGCTGGTTGAACATACTACATATTTTAACAGAACATTGGTCTGTCTTCTTCAGGTATGATTAGTACTAAGCAATACAAGGTATATATATCGTTATAAAGACAAAAGACATAATGATTAAATGTGACAGAAATGGTGGCAGCAGGTGACAGGATATAGGTAAAAATCAAGTCTGGTCAAGTGTATGAACGGAGTATATATCTTGTCAAATACAGTTTATGTTGCTAGGGCCATTATCACAGTTTAATGAAAGATCGTTTACTTTGGTGATTTGTGTAGTTTCTCAACAGTTTCTTTCTTTTTTAGTTTTGGGTTGATGTAGGAGAAGAATTTCATCCCAGAGTATTTTGTTACCTGTTTCATATCGATGATGTGTTAAGTTGGATATCTGGAATTCACCTCTACACATGTGATCTTGGTGTTCTTTGCACCTCATTTCTAAGGAACGTGACGATTGTCCTACATATTTCCACATTCACATTGGATACTATATATATTCCATGTTTTTATTCGTTTAGTAGGATTATTTCGGGTTAGGTAATAATGTATTGATTTTACGTGAAGGTTTGAATACAGTTTTACATCATTGCTCAAATTACAAAATAGGCTAGTAATTTTGTTAGCAGTTTCTGGCACAAAAAGGAATAAAACAGATTTGCTGTGTTTTCTGTTGTTGATAGGTAAAAGGTTACAGTTAACATAATATTTCTACTGACTGACAAGAGAGGGACGGCAACAACAACAAACATTTGACACGTGTGTGTACACTGTACAGTAACAAACATTTAATTCTTGAACGTTTCGGAATGTAGATATTCCATCTTCAGCAAGCTATATAAATTATTAGGTACAAATATTTCTAAAGTTCCAACATTTTGTAAAGAGTAATTAAATACAGATTAAAAGGATAAACTCAACTAAGAAAAAAAAACAAGGACAATGCACCGATTGTAACAATATTATACAACTTATTCAAGACAGACTTAACTGTAGTGAAGTTGTGTTATTATTTAAAGTTGGGAGTTCATTTATAATAGATAAACTTCCTTTAACTAAAAGTTCAATATTGGATGACCCAAATGAGATGACTTTGAATTTTTTTTTATCAAGATGGGGTGGTTGTTTTCACTATGTTTGCGAATTACAGAGTCTGGAGGATTTGATAGCTTCTTTACCAGTTCTGCTTGAAACTCTCATATGTTCGCAGGTGTAATTGGCGTATACTTTTGCCAAGTTAAGTGTCATTACAACCACCACATGTGTATTCATACACGATCCTGAAGCGCATAGGAGTAAGTAATAGTCTTTAGACCTAAATGTATTTTGAACCTTGAAAGGTAATTTAAATATCGTATGTAGTTTAACCTGAGGATAAAAGGTTTAATTAAAATGTGTCACTTCAGTACAAAACTTTGTTTACATAAAAAAGGAACGATCAGTCCTAACGGTTAATTATCTATTTATATCTTCAGTACATGGGAAAAGTTAGTAATGCTTGGAGACCGGTTGAATGGGTAATGAAGAAAAAACTTTAATATAAGTTTAATATAACAGCAAATGTACAACGTTTCGACGAGGTTTTGCCATCATCAGGTACAAGTATTTTACACTGACACAAATATATATATACAGAATGGAAAAAAGAAGTCACATGACCGGATACTGTTGCAATACTTAGAAGAGATCTCTTGGCACCCCAGGGTGTTGGTTTAGAGTAGGGTTGTTTTGTTCAATCAAGATGGATTCCTTGATTCCTTTGTTTATGTTGGGTTCTTCTTTATGCTTATAAATCGTTGTTTGCCAACCTATTACCAAAGAATAGTCCGAATGTAATACTTGTTACATTTATATCCTACGAACAGTCAAATTTATTGATACTCTGGTCGCATAGTATTTTACATGATAAAAAAACAAACTAAAATAAGTTTGTTTAATTAGGAATGTTATAACCTAGAAGCACTTTGACTTAGCTCTTGAAGCGACCATTATCGTTAACGCACAATGTTAAGAAAGTTATAACGGAGAAGCACTTCATACTTGACTTTTATCCAGTACCTTAAATTTAAGTACATAATAGTCACAAGTTGTCCAATTTTCGAATAATAATATTAAGGCATAAGAAATGTCAAAAGTATACACATATAGGATATTGAAAAATATTGCTTGGATGTTTAGAATTTTCTCGAAAATTTTCATAGTTATCAACGCCAGTCATCTCTAATTTTGAACTAATAGGCTAGCTGGTCAACAGTATGCACCATCAGCTTTTTGGCTATTATAACGAAACAGTAGGATTTTATTGACACTGTTACAATGCGCTCACCACTCCAAAGTTAGGAGTACGATTTTATTTTTATTATTTTGTAGATAACAGGTTTTGAAACGTGGACGTTCGGATTCATAGTCCTGCAAACTGGTCATTTGGTCACATTAGGTAAGGTAAGAGAAAACAATTAATTTAAAAAGCTAGTTGCATATTGAGATCTATAGTACAATGTGTGAATCAAGTTTAATTTACCAATGTAAATCCAAGGAAAATCAGGTCGTTTGGAAAAAAAAAAAGCTTTATAAAGATGGCCACCACATGTTGACCATGTTTTTACACTATGATAAATGTATACCTGTACTTTGTGGCAATACATTTTTTGTGTTCTCTTTTTTTTTCTTTATCAGCTAAACGTTCTTGCAAGTTTTAGTTCAATCAGTATTTTACACAACACCATATGTAAAGGAAAATCTTACTTCATCTTCCAAACTTAGAAAAAATATATATATACTAAACAAAGAACGAAAAATACTGGCTGTGTATATCAATAGAAAAGATAGGGTGATTAACAAATACTCAGGTTAAATGTTGAGTTTGGTCAACAAACGAGGAAGTATTCTATAACGGCGTTTACAGTTCAAAGATACTTTCAAGGAAGGAAACGCATAAAATATTTGGCTCTAACTAACCAATGAAAGTGGACGAAAGTTGTATGACGTAAGGTCACGTGCTTGCTTAAAATATTATAACTTTCAAGCAGGGTGAAAACAGATTCCGATCTCTGATTCTCATCCAGTATCGCTTCCACGATGTTTTGAGGTGTTAGTAATAACACGTAATGCAGCTGAATTAACACATGTGTAAGTACACAGTTTTTGTAACTTTAGCTTATAAGGGGATCTTATGTTTTAATTTTATGGATAGACCAAATGAATATAATTTTGTGTTTTCACCTCTCCCACTGAAGAAGGAAGTTATGCCGTCCTAACTCGCTGGGGTTATCATTATCAATACTGGGCACCTTCATTTGTGAAGTTTGTGGTAAGTGAATACAACATGTACTTGAAATTATTATATGATATAATTATAGAGATTAAGTAGATTCTTGTAAGATTTGTAGAGTTAATAGAAAACAAAAGGCTTTTCAGATGACCTTGTTACACAGTACAGTTCAGGAAGTTAGCGCACCCTGCTGCGTGTTGGTTGCACTTCTACAACACAGGAAGACATTATGCGCATGCGTGTCTTTCACCTTCACGCACTGCTGGCAATCACGTTGTTTTAAAACATAAGCAATATACAAACACATGGTGAAAATGCACTAATTTTGTATTGTTTTATAATATTTATATAAGTACACCCATACCAATTACAATGGGTTTATTCTCTTTCAGCCGCGCTTCAGTTAGACATTCTGAAACTAAGATACATTTGTTTTTGAATTGGTATTTTGTAGGTAGTAGTGTTAGTGTTAGCTTCAGTAATTACAAATGACTTGATGTGAAGCGTTCTCTCATTTAAACAATACTATGTTATTCATCTCTTAAGAATTGTGTACATTATTTCATCAAATATACATTTTTTATTGTGTAATATAATAATAAACATTCTTCTCTGTAATACCAGTAGTAGTGGAATTAGAGAGGTATTAAAAAAAGTAAAATAGAATCGGTAGTTGTTTTTGTTATCAAAGAAATTTGACTGTGCCAGAGAATTCTCGTAGTTCGCTATCCTTTCACAGGCGAGGATACAAAGGTTGTGTAACTTGTGAGATTAGGTGTTGATGTGTTTATTTTGCCTACGCTATCTCATAGAAATTTGTATTAGTGCTGTACTTACCATGAAATTGTAGTGATGATATCCGAAACGATGTTGGTACGATGAGGCAATGCAGAACCACGTAGAATTGTTTGTTTGTTTGAAGTTAAGCTACACAATGGGCTATCTGTGCTCTGCCAACCACGGGTATCGAAACCCGGTTTCTAGTGTTGTAAGTCCGAAGACATACCACTGTGCCACTGGGGGGCCCACGTAGAATAAACAGAATGATCGTATATTCTATCATATTAAAGTAAATTTGATATCGTGTAATATCACTTTAATCATTCTCTCTTCTCGGGGTAATTTATTTCCGTAATTTTATATCATTTTCTTATTTAGTAAGTATCTGAGTTTTGTATGTTTTATGTTACGAGTACTCGCCTTCCGTTATAACTTATCGTGTATATATATAGTGTATAGTGCGAATCTTTATTTTTTTACAAATTACACTATATCTTGTATGTGCTGATATTAGAGGCGGTAGAAAAGTGTACCACTGATAGTGACCATAGGGAACTTTCTAAGTAAAGAATAAAAACGTTTTTACGTGTGGCAATCACTTTAACTTCCTGTCCTATGAATATGTGACGTAACAGAAGATTAGATTATGTATGTAAACTATGGATCCGTTAAATAAGAGAGCAATCCTCATTTTCAGGGGCTCTGACTATTAGATTAGACATTATGACATATTATATTATATTAGATTTGTGGCTATGGAACTTAAAAATCAGGAAGGTGCTGGTTTGATCTAATGTTGTAAGTACGTGTTATTTTACATTCGCTTTTGTAACTTAAAAATCACTCATGCAACTGTAAAACTACAAGTAGCTTCTAGAAAAAAAACTGTACAAAAGTACAAGATAATAAAATGCAATATAACAGATTAAAAATAAATAAGAATAATTAACTGGACCCTAATAGGTAATGGAGGTTTAGGTGCAAGTATCACCTATTTCTTCTCCCTGATATAGTATAATTTATATAGTATATCTGATATAATATAACTGATATAGTATATCTGATATAGTATAACTGGTGTAGTATATCTAATATAGTATATCTGATATAATATAACTGATATAGTATATCTGATATAATATTACTGATATAGTATATCTTATATAGTATAATTAATATAGTATAACTGATGTAATATATCTGATATAGTATATCTGATATAATATAACTGATATAGTATATCTGATATAATATTACCTGATGTAGTATATCTGATATAATATAACTGATGTAGTATATCTGATATAGTATAATTAATATAGTATATCTGATATAATATAACTGATATAGTATATCTGATATAGTATAACTGATGTAGTATATCTGATATAGCATATCTGATATAATATAACTGATATAGTATATCTGATATAATATTACTGATATAGTATATCTTATATAGTATATCTGATATAGTATAATTAATATAGTATATCTGATATAATATAACTGATATAGTATATCTGATATAATATTACTGATATAGTATATCTTATATAGTATATCTGATATAGTATATCTGCTGAGGCTTTTTGGATACAGTCATGAAGTTCACAGAATACTGGATTAAGGTCTGTAGACAATTTGATCACAACCATTCGGTCGTTATTAAACCATATGACACTACAATAAGCATGCTTAGATGCTTACGCCTGTATATTCATCAAATAGTCCTAGTCTCACATGGTCTGGTTATTATGACACTCAACGCGCAATCTGAAGGTGGGGTCATGGGTTCGAATCTCATCACTGAACATGCTGGGTTTTTCCGCTATGAGGGCTTTATAATGTGATGGCCAATCCCACCGTTCGTTGGTAAAGATTAGCCCAAGAGTTGGCGGTGGGTGATATTTACTAGCTGCCTTCCCTCTAGTCTATCACTTCTAAATTATGGAATGCTAGTGCAGATAGCACTCGGTTTAGCTTTGCGCGAAATTCAACAAATAAATAATCAAACAGTCCAGTTTTAATACAAATAAGAAAATAAAAACGAGCAACGTTTTATCAAGAATTAGATGGCCTTGGAGGAGAGATTATTATTATGCATGTTATTATTATGTATTTTCAACTTACTAACATCTCTTAATTAATAGATCGTTTCTGTTAAGACGTTTCTATAGTTTGTGACCATTGTAGATGTCTATCTGGTGAGATATGGAGGTTTGCGTAATTATGTCGAAACCTTGTGGAAATTGTTCTGGGTACTCTGAGAACTGCCTATAATACACGATCTTGAATAGTTTGTAAATTCAGTATGTTATATTTTGACTTATGACGGATTTAAATATTGAAAGGCTAATCGAATATGGGTTTAAAAATGTTGTCCGCTGAGTTTTCTACAGTTTTACCAGCTAGACTTCTTTATATGTTTTGAAGTCGTAGTGGACAAATTAAAAAGACTGTCGAAAAAACAACAACACCTACAGTTAACGTGATTTGTATATATATATATATTTGATCTAATGCTTTGGTCTTTTCCGAATTATATATTTTACACTGTCGATTATATTTGTCCAATGAGATATAATATATGAGATCAATAAGTTTAGCTGACGCGGCTACTAGAGCAGAGTTTCATATAAGTGTCACTATGGTCGCTGTTTGCTGAGGTTTAGTGATTTGTGAAGCATATTATATAATTTTTGATGCGTCATTTATTGAACCTTCCTCTGTGAGATGTAAAAGAGATTGGAGAATATTGCAAATTTATGAACTACCGGGAGAACTCAGTGACGAAAGCCGGGTATCTGACTCAGGCAACAGTATGGAACACATTCAAGAAGATTCTCGGTCTGGAAACGAGGACATCGGGGTTTGGGTTCACTAAGATAAGGCTTTCGGTCATACTTCCCGTTTAACCTTCACATACCCCAAGCAGCTGGAGAATGAGATGGGTATAAGAAAGGAAAATAATCGGTGTCTTGTAGTTATGGTTTATTCCGCCGTCCTTAATTTTGAACTATTGAGCAGATGGAAAGCAACCAGTAAGTAGTACTTTAACGCCCACCATGCACGCTATGGGATTAACTGTTACTCTTATAATGCACCGATAGCTTAAAGTGTGAAAAATACTTGGTGGCATCGCACGTATTTGACCCCATCTCGCCAGTTTCGAAAGCCAGAGCTCTACCATAGGGCCAACACGCACCCAAGCGAAAAAAACCATTTTTTTTGTACCAAAAATAAACTTTTTAGGTAGAGTGTATAAAATAAATCTTTTTGTGGTAAATTTCGGTATTTTGATATGAAACAAGTTTAAGAGATATGCATAAGATCGTTTGGACGTGCTGTTAGCTTGGGTTGTATATAGGTTATGTATAAATATATATATAAAATGCCAAATTAATAATGTATTACATAAACAAACAAATAAAACTATCAAACACGCATCCAAAGGACTGAAAAACATTATGTTCTATTTAAAAATTTACATTTCGATTCTCACAAAAACTACTTGTATACAAAAGTTTTTAAGTTGTTTCTTTTAGGTGTAAAAAGTTTCTTTTTGTTCCTTAAGTACCCCTCTTGGGATCCATTTTAAAATTATTGTGTAATTTGATGCAGTATTATTTTGATTTTGAAGTGTATTAGTGATATTTTCTGTTTAGAACTTTTTCCGTGTTTTACTAATGTGAACTTAGAGTCAGCGTATGAGTTTTTTCTGTGCGTTAATGTATGTTGCCACACGTACCGTGTAACCGTTGTTTTCTGTGTTGCAGAGTCATTCTCCGAGGGTATGTGTGAAATATTTTCGCAACAAGAATGGTTGTTACTTTTCTTAGCAATCACTTACTCCTGTATTTCAATTTTAAATGTTTTAATAAGACCATTTCTAACTTTCTCCGATATCTGAGCTTAAGTGTACAGAAAAGCTACAGGACTGATTACTGCTAATATCACCATAGTTGTTCTTTTGCAACTTACTGCATCAAGGAGTTTAACTGAGGAGGAAATGTTATAACTATAGCATGGCTACCTAAAATAGGATTTGGACTTCTCGATATTGTTCCTTTCTTCTCATTTTTTCAAAGTTGTCGTCAGGTGGAGCACACCACACATTTTAGTGCCGCACTTAACAACTAAGACTCACAGTATACGGAGTAGTCCTTTTCGAAAGCCAGTCTAATCTCCAGTGGCGTTTCAACAAGTAGTTCTGGACCGGGGTTCAGGTTTAAACAATTTAGTTGACCTAAGTGGGCGAGTGACTTCTTAATCTCTGCAAGTGTGAGTTACCTAAGGTAACCTTGACTTTCATTTCGCACCGAGATTACAGAATAAGCAGTCCTGTCTGAGAATGCACATTAATCATTTAAACAGATACGTTTTTTTTTGTTTATGTTTAGCCGAGGCATAGCGGCTCATAGAATGGTTATGAGGATTTTCAAGAACAAACTTTTAG